CATTTACTGAATTTCTTCAAGATCAAGACAAGTTTGGCATTTGGCATCAATGCCTTGGTCATTTGAATGCCAAGAGCATGAAAGAGCTCCAATCCATAGTAAGTGGCTTAGATCTTGGTCATATAAGCTACAATGCTATGACACTTACTTGTGAAGGTTGTATTCAAGGCAAACAACAAAGGGCCTCATTTCCAAGTGGAGTTGCAACACGTACAACCAAGTTATTGGAGATTGTTTATTCTGATGTTTGTGGACCTATGAGGATGCCATCAATAAGAAGTGCAAGGTATTTTTTCTCATTCATTGATGACTTTTTAAGGAAAGTATGGATTTTCATCCTCAAAGAAAAGAGTGAGTGTTTCACAAGGTTTAAGGAATTTAAGGCACTTGTGGAGAAGCAATGTGAATGCAAAATCAAGGTATTACATACAGACAATGGAGGTGAGTATATGTCAAAGCAATTCAATGATTTATTAAAATTGCATGGTATTGCAAGACAAACCTCCACTCCTTACATTTCACAATAAAATAGAGTTGCTGAAAGAGCAAATCAGACCATTGTGGAGATGGCAAGGAGTATGCTTCATGTACAACATCTTGGACATGAGTTTTGGACGAAAGTAGTGGTGAATGCAATATACATAAAAAATAGATGTCCTACAAGTGCACTTACATCAATGACACCGGAAGAAGCTTGGAGTGGAAGAAAACCTTGTGTTTCTCACATAAAGACCTTTGGATGCATAGCATATGCAAAGATATCAGATTGTATGGGATCAAAATTTGATGAAAAAGGTACAAAATGTGTATTTGTTGGATATTGTGAAGGTACAAAGGCTTATAGACTCATGTATTTGGATACTAAAAAGATCATCAAAAGTCGTGATGTTGAGTTTTTGGAGCACAAGAGTGCTTGTGAGTACTTAGAAATATGTCCAAGTAAGAGAAATGGTATGTTTGTGGACACATCTTCAAATTCAGCAAAGAAGGAAGAAGACAAAGATAATGATGGTTGTAAAGATGGAAATGAAGATGAAGAGGCAAAGAAGATGGACAAGAAGGTGTCTACAATTGCTTACACCAATAATGAAGAGCATGAAGGTGTAGATGATGATGGTGATGAGGATTATGAACCTTTGAGTGAAAAAAGACTATCTTCAAAAGAAAAGAAGGTTGGAGGTGACCATGGAGTGCAACAAGTTGAGTCTTCTTCAAATGAAAGGAAATATCCTTTGAGAGAGAAAACAACATGGTGAATGGTGGAAGGACTACATTTTTCCTCAAGTAAGTAAAGAACATGCTAATGTTGTACTTCTTGCTGATTCGTTGAGTTTATGTGATGCAATGAAGTCTAGGGATGGGTTGAAGTAGGAGAATGTTATAGAAGAAGAATACAAATCACTCATGGATAATGAAACATGGAAATTGAGTTTACTTCTACCAAATCGAGCTTCAATTGGTTGTAAGTGGGTGTTTTAAACAAAGAGGGATGTAATGGGCAATGTTGTAAAGTATAAGGTAAGATTGGTTGCCAAAGGCTACTCACAAGTTACTGGTGTTGATTTCAATGAGATATTTGCTTCCATGGCCAAAGTCACCACCATAAGAACCATTGTGGTAATTGAGGCAGCAATGGACTTGGAGATGCACCAAATGGATGTGAAGACGGCTTTCTTGAATGGAGAATTGGAAGAAGTCATCTACATGGATCAACCTCAAGGATTTGTTGAAGAAAGCAAATAACACCTTGTGTGTAAGTTGATGAAATCTTTGTATGGGCTTAAGTAATCATCAAGGGCATGGTACCAACGTATCGATTCTTTCTTTGTGAATGAAGGATTTGTGAAGAGTGAGGCTGATCATTCCATGTATGTGATGTAATCAAAAGCCTTCTTGCTGATTGTTATTCTTTATGTTGATGATTTAATCATCTTGACCAATACTTTAAAAATGATGGATTGGTTGAAGGCAAAGCTAGCAAAAGAATTTGAAATGAGTGATTTGGAAGAGCTCCACTATTTCTTAGAAGTGGAATTTGTGAGAGATCGAGCTAAAAAGATCATAACATTGAGCCAAAAGAAGTACATTGAAGAAGTATTGAAACGGTTCAACATGGAGGAGTGGAAGTCCATTGGAATACCTTTAGAGGTAAATTTGAAGTTGATGAAGCTCACAGATGAGGAATTTGTTGAAGTTGAAGAAGAAATGAAAGATGTTCCATACAAGGTATCAGTAGACTCACTTATGTATGCAATAGTTGATACAAAGGTGGATCTTACATATGTAGTGAGTGTTGTGAGTCAACACATGTCAAAGGATGGACCAATTCATTGGGCAACCATTAAGAAGATTTTGAGGTACCTTAAAGGCACTTTGAACTTCAAATTGTGCCTTAGAGGTAATAGTATTACATTACATGGATATTGTGATGCAGATTGGATTGGAGATACAAATGATAGAAGATCAACAATGGGATATGTCTTTTGTGTTGGAGTGGGAGCAATTTCATGGAATTACAAGAGACAACCAATAATTGCAAGGTCTACAATGGAGGCGGAATACATGGTAGCAAGTCATGGTGCAATGGAGGCGGAATACATGGTAGCAAGTCATGGTGCAATGGAGGCAATATGGCTAAGACAAGTTTTAGAAGATATTGGACTTGTGCAATTGGAAGCAACTCCAATGAAGTGTGACAATCAAGGATGCTTTGCTTTTGCCAAGAATCCAAAGCATCATTCAAAGACAAAGCACATTGACATTCAACATGACTTCATACGGGAGAAGATTGAGATGGGAGTAATTGACATAAAGTATTGTGCAATGGAAGACATGCTTGTTGATTTATTCACAAAAGCATTGGTGAAGGATAGACATTATAAATTGACAAAGGAATTAGATTTATTAGCCTTTGACCAATAGCAAAGTGGGAGTGTTAAAGTAAATGAAAGATAAGATAGAAGGTAAAAGATATTATCTTGGATAAGTTGCTAATGGTCAAAGGGCAGCAAAAAGATGAAGGAAAGTTATCAAGGTGGCGGCTAGGATTATAAATGGCGGTTAGAATTATAGGTGGTGGCTAAGATTGTAGGTGGCAGTTAGGGTTTAAAGTGGCGGCTAGGTTAAGAAGAATTTAGGGTTAAGTTGGATGAAAGTAAGATGAATGCTAGCCAAAATGGATGTAATCTCTACCTATAAGTAAAAGGTGTTGGAAGTGAGAGGTATCTCATTCTACACTTCTCTTGTGTCTAACCTTGCTGATTTCTACTTACTTGTGTCTTACTTATTGTGTTTCTTCAATAAAAGATAGCCTGAATAAAGACAAAATAAGTGAAATAAATAAAATTAAGCAATTACATATCCCAAAATTTGATTACAATCTATCTACTAAGTTTTTATCTAATAGAAAGTAAAATTACAAAATAAAAAATATATATTTTTTAAATAATTTAATTTTTTTAAAGAAGGTTTAAAGATAATAAGTATATAAATAAAAAGTTATAAAGGTTTAAATCTTCATCAATATGTTTATATAGGATTAAAGTAAGTTATGAAGGTTTAAAGATAATAAGTATATAAATAAAAAGTTAAATAAAAATATTTTACCTAAAGCATAACTTGCTTATAGATCAAAGATTTGAACCTCATAATGGCTTGCATATAGTATATTTGGATTTTAAAGAGAGGCCACAAGGTCTTAGTCTTATCCTCCTAACTATATTTAAGGTGCTACAATCTATATGAGACTCGTGCATCTCCTTTTCTACAAGGAGTAGACTAGCTATTGGTCCTCCTATTTTCTACTAGTAAAACTAATATTTTTGGATTTTTGACTTTACTATGATATTCAAAAATATCCAATTAGATAAGAAACCTTCAATAGTCTTCAAATCTATTTTAATAAAATTATAACTTACAAAGATAGCCTGAATAAAGACACTAAATTTTATCAAAGTTTTGAAACTTTTTTTAAAAATTCCTAAAAAACTCTAAATAAATTCTAAAGAAATTTATTTGTCGGTTTGGAAGAAATAGCAAGTAAATTTTTATTATATTTGAACTCACAACCAAATTATAGATATAATCACAAGGATACTTTTATGATAATATTTCATTATTTGCAATCTCTATTGAGTACTAAATGAGAGATGATAAGTAACATTTGGTTATCAAAAGTTGACATAAATAAGTGAAGGTGTTGGATGCATACATTCATTTGACTTCTTACATGGTAATATAAAATATAGTTTGATTTTTTTTTCTTTGACTATGTTATTTTTGTATATTACTTATATTTACATAGAAAGTAGTCGCTTGGTGTTCATTATGTTTTAAGATAATACTTGTAAAATGAATGTGTTGCTTATTATTTGATAAGTCTATATGCATGATTAACATCAATAATAGTGATTTCTACACAATGGGAGAGGTAACTTATGGGAGAGGTAACTTGGCCTTGTAAGAGTGGATAGTGGTGCCCTCATCTTGCTACATTAGAAGATATTATCCATTCTCTATTGGCAACAACTAGAGAATGTCAACTATATTAGAAGTTATTATCCTGTCATCTTGATTAGAGGTGGTGTAGTTTGCATTAGAGGTGGTGTGCGGATCCATTTTGCCTTCCTTGCCAATATTGCTGGACTATATCAGATGCTTGCCAATTCTTCATTTTCTTGTTTAATTGAATTATTTCCTTCATTTTTAAGTTGCTTGATCCTTGTAGTAAACCACATTATATGTTGTATGATCTAAACCAAGTTATTATTCTCCACCTACTCATTTCTGTGTTTGATCATGAAGTGTAACAATTCTTGGGAATTGTTGGAATCAGTTAATTTAGTATTGAACTTGATGTTGGAATTTGTTTGAAATATGGTGAATTTTGGGAATTAAGTACCTCTTTTGTAGTACTTTTTAAATATCCATAATGTTGATTTCAAAACCATGGACTATGAATTCTATGTTAGGAAAAATAAGAAAAATAAGAACAAAAAAAAGCTAGAGAATGTTTTTGTTAGATTAACAAATATTATACAAAAAATGTAATTTTTAACCTAAATTTTGAACGCATCAAGAGGATTTCCAGGGCAATGAGGTCGTACTATGGGCATATAGGAGATGGATTGGTTAGAAAAAGATTTTAGAATATTTGCAAAAACTCAGCTATAACCTGAAATATACACTTGTCAAGGCTAAAACTCGTGCATGAAGGAGCGTCGATCAGGCCCAGTCGAACTTCACCGGCATCATTTCGGCGGCCTCCGGAGTCCCAACAAAATGAGAAGGCTGTGCCTTCACCTCGATGCAGGAACCCCCAAAGAACATGGACACCAGAATCTTCCGATCATCCTTCGCCATGTACAAGCTCGATGAAATGTCCACACTGAATTCCTCTTCCACAGTGACCCCTGGGTCTGTAGTGTACGTCGGCGAAGGTGACTGGGTAGTGACCACCTCGATAGAAATAGCCGTCTGGTTCTTTGACGTCGGCCAGAAGTACTTCTCTTGCGAGAAATCCATCTCAACCGTGCTCCCAGCCTTCACAAATGTAGAAAACAGATGATTACAATACTTGACGCCATCAATGTACTTCGCCAAGCTCTCGGGATGAATATCACTGTCGAATTCTGCGCACATACTGATGCCATACGTGCGCCTGGCAACTCGGCATAGAATGTTCTTGGGGAAGAAGCCGATGTTGACGGCTCCGTCGCAGATCGCGCGTCCAGGTTCGTTGGGGCTCACAACTGTGATGCGAGGCTCAAATGCCTTCTTGATCTTCGCCATCAAGTACTTGGAGGTAGCGAACCCGCCCACGACCATTATCATCCTGATGTTAGACGTTTGCTGGAGCTGCGCCTTGATGAGATTGATGTTTTCGTTCACCACGCCGGAGAAGATTTGCACCATGTCGCTGTGGGTGATCTCCACCGTGTAGTAATCACCCACATACGATGGATCGTGCTCCTCCCAGGACGTGGCCAGCTTTCCAGAGAGTTGGCAGTAAAGTACTTCATTCGTGTCACCGCCCTCGAATGAGCTTTTAGCATGCTCCCACCACGTCTGTAGCTGGAGCTTCACTCTAGGATTGCCTTCTAGAAATTTGTCCAGACAGCCGATCTTCCCAGACATAAATTTCATGAACGCTTGGTCTACGAAGGAGCCGCCACACAGGCCACCGGAGCTCGCTGTCACTTCCTTCACCTTCAAACTGCCCGAGGAGTTTGCCTTCTCTTGCACCACGATGTCGGATGTTCCACCTCCGATGTCTGCAACCAAAAATTTATCCCCTTGATTGAGTTTGAAGTTTCTGAGCTTCTTCAAGCAGTAGACGGCAGCAGCTTCCGGCTCCAGGACTATAATCACCGGGTAAGGGCTGCCCCTGTTGCCGCCCACCAACCCCGCCCCTTCCATGAAGCTCTTCATCTGCTGCTTGGCATTGTCGTCCCAGATGGAGGGCACCGTGACGCACCACTGCAGCTCCTCCATGCTCAGGTGGGTGCCATACTTGTTTCGGAGATGGTCCATGATAAACTTTCCAATCTCCCTTAAAAAGTCGGTGATGACCTGCTTGGTGGTGAGGCCTCGTGGTAAGGGCGTGGTGGATAAGGGGCCGGAGCTCTTGTCTGCGAGGTGGAGCTTGAACCTGGTGATGAACTCGCCCAGCGTACTTTTGTCAGCATTCTTTCGTTGCACTAGGTCCAAGTCTCGGACGTAATCCACTTGGGCTTGCCATCCCCACGATTCTAACTGCAAACCATTCCGCGAAGGTTTATAGTACAGAGCTGTCTGAGTTTTGCAGTACGACTTCCCGCTTGCCTCAGCGAACCTTGGCCATTCGTAGAGCACACACACACCCTCTGGTTCGGACTTGTGTGCATATCCAAACCCTGAGAACGTTGTTCCAAAATCCAGCCCTACAACAACTCTTGCATCAGGACGCGTAGGAAAACTTATGTTGCTCATGATGCTCACAGTGTAGTGACAACCAAGATCGATTGAGCTAGTGATGGCAGTCTGGCCGTCATGTTAATATTAGGTCATCCGAGGTTAACGAATGAGTATCATCTCATCATTTGGATGAACAGACTAGCTACAGAACTTTAAATGTCATAGTCCAGATTTCATTCAAACTCACTGTATAATAAGGCACCCTGTGCACATCAAATCTCACTAATTATGTTTATTACAACAGGTCTACAACCAGATAAGTGCCGATCGGTACTCTAAACCACTCATTCAAACTCATTGTATAGTAAGGCACCCCGTGCACATCAAATCTCACTAATTATGTTTATTACAACAGGTCTACAACCAGATAAGTGCCGATCGGTACTCTAAACCACTCATTCAAACTCATTGTATAGTAAGGCACCCCGTGCACATCAAATCTCACTAATTATGTTTATTACAACAGGTCTACAACCAGATAAGTGCCGATCGGTACCCTAAACCACTCATTCAAACTCATTGTATAGTAAGGCACCCTGTGCACATCAAATCTCACTAATTATGTTTATTACAACACATCTACAACCAGATAAGTGCCAATCGATACCCTAAACCACAAGGTGCGTGATGTCAAGGGTGCTCTAACTTCAGAGTCTATAAAATCCGAAGCTCACTTGCAACTGGAACTTGGAAAGGTCGGCGCACTAGCCTACATTCCTCGACGGGAAGTAATTAGATGACAATGAGACAATGCGTTGAATTAGCCATGTGCTGATCTAGCGCAAGTAAGTCAATCCTCCGAATGACGCCATATTCCGAACTGTTCTCCAAGCACCCCAGGACAGCATTAATTATCAACTTCCAAATCTGCTACGCCGACACGGGCGCGCCTGATCTTGCACAGTAGCGGCTGCTTCTCTCTCATCTCAGAGAACTTCGGTTATTCATTAAATGAAAGCACTTCAGTCGCGGAGCCGGCCCTTGAAGAGTGTGGTATAATGTGCCAGTGAACCAGTGGGGACCCCAGGTGCGCTTTGACTGAAAACATCTTCTGGGATCCTAATTTGTCGAGTCTACTGCGCTCAGTCGGCAAGTTCTAAGTCTCGTTCCACGTATAGATTGGTTAGGTAGCGAATAGTGCTCTGACCGATTCCCAGTTAACTCTCGTTCCAATCTCTGCATTTGAAAAAAATCAATTTTATTTTAGGAAAATAAGTAAACTGAACTGAATTCCACTTCCATTTGCATGGGTAGAAAGGAGGCACCACAAATCACAATGCTCATCTTCTGGACCGTAGAATCCAACACTGGACAGAGTTTCTGCTCGAAGTTTACACCATGTTTTTTTTTTGTTTTGCAGAGTTTCCAGGCGAAACTTCTTCCTTTACGACTAACTCTACTGTGTGATATCCCTTCAAAAGCGTAGTTTCTGAGCTTTGAAATCGACGACGGCAGTTTTGGTTGTTTTATCGTTGACCGTTGTATGCTATGCCGCCAGCTATCTGGAACTGGACAGGCCGTCTTGACTTTCTGCAGCTCATTCAACGTGAGGTTCCAATTTCAAGGGGCCAGGGTGTCAAAATCGTGAATCTGCCAATTCTATTGTCACTTCTGAATCAAGGATGTCGACGATGAATTCTACGCCGAACGGTGCACCCCTGTGTCTAGTCAACTCCACTGATGTTCACGGTGCGTCACCTGCCTCCGATCAGCAACAGAATCTTGACCTCGGAGGTACACCTTGCGATGGTGCGGATTATCAGGCATCGGTTCCAGAGCAGAGCCACAATGGCGGTGGTGCATTGGCGCATTCCAATGAAAAGCACCAAGGAGAATATGCAGAAGCAGCGCGCAGAGGGGGCTCTCATTACGAAAAACGATTTGCTACACCTGCTATCGACCCGGTCAGCCAAACTTCATCTCCCACTCACCAGCACCTCATCACCCTGCACCCACAATATTTATGGCTGACGTCTGCCCTGTTTAGGTACACTTTCGGATTCTTTGGCAATACTGTTGAATCTGAGAAGCCGGTGGATGGGGAGATGCTTCAGATCACCACTAAATTTAACAGTTTGAAAAAGGAGAACGAGGAGCTGAAGACAGTATGTAGTGACATGAAGTACAAACTTGGGCGTGAACAGCATAGATTATTGTATGTGATTGAGCAGAGGGATGCTATGTTGCAAGCTAAGGACAATGTGTTGAAAAAGGCCGAAACGGATTTACAAAAGATTCGAGAGGAGGCAAGAACCCTTGCCCAAAACGTTCAATATTGGCGTGCCAATACACATCACTACGAAGCCATTGCTGATAGGCTTGACAAGCAGCTTTTATGTTTGGAGCAGTCGAATTCCAAGGCTCCTGGCACTACCGGGGCTCACAAGGACTCACCTGCCGTCCCTCCCAATTTGAAGAAATCCGTGTTCGTTGTGGCAGAGAAGGCGTTTGAATGCTCTAAGGCTTTCCTCGACTTTTTCAAGAAGCCTTTGGAAAATCATGAGGTATTCCAGAATCCTCCGGAGTGGGCAGATAAGCGGTTTCGCAAGTTCGAGGTGGAAGCCTACATTTGCAGCCACATGTTTGCAGGGTTTGAGAACGATAGTTATCATGACAGCTTTGAATGTACACAAGGCTCTGAGCGCTATCTCCTCGCTAATCACAAGGACACCGAATTCTTCATGAAGAATCAAGATCTGGAAATACGGCACCAACGGTATCTTGAGGAGTACTATTCTCTTCAGAAGTTTGGTTTGAAGGGGATAATGAGAGATTTGAAGAACATTGTTGCGAGCACCAATCCATTTCATCTGTTTTGCTACAGAAAGTTACACAACATCATAACCAGCTTGAATGTGTCGTGCGAAGAGTTCGGGCCTTTTCAGGAATCCGATGGTGATTATTCCAAAAACCTCCTTTTCTGCCATCTTGCAACGAACCCCAAGTATTGCGACAACGTCTTGGAACCGTTTGTCAACCTAGCTAAGGTGACCTTTCTGTTGCACCGTCTGGCTTTCCAGTTCCAACCCCCAGCGCGGATCTTTCGCTACGCCCGAGGAACGAGGTTTGACCCGACTTATATGGAGAATGCTTTTCCCATTGACGTCAATGACTCCGACCAGGAACTTGTTGTGGGCCTCTTGATTGTTCCTGGATTTCAAGTTGGTGCTACCATTGTGAAGTGTACGGTTTACCTTGTCCCTAGCAGTATGGTCGTCTCTCCTGGTAGTCACCATGCAAATTGAGGACAGAGATGACTAGACTTGGTTTCAATGCTTCGGGTTTGAATATAGAATGCATTGGATATAGAAAAATGTCCAGGTATTCCCCTTCTTACACCAAGCTGTCAAGAATTGTTCATGTATGATTAGTTCAGTCTCCATATGCATGTTCAACCTTGTCTGCTATACAACTAAGTCTAAAATCACAATCTTACAGGAATCTGCTAACAGCTGCAACCAATTAACCATTAACATTGGAGGCGAAGTAGCAAACTAGCTCTTGTGAAATAAAACTTGTCATGTGGAATAAAGCTCCTCATCACCCCCTGCATTACAGCAGACCTAAAAAGGAACTGGCTTCCGTGGTGCTGACTTGTAAAGTGATAAAAGAAAAAAAACATGTTCTAGCAACAAGTGAAGAGAGCTAGAATTTGATGGTCATGAATAGTGTAGGACATAATCATCAATTGCAACAGATTGATTGAACCATCAAAAGCATATAGACAAAGATAACAAGAAAGAAAGAAAAGTAAATAGAAAAAAAAGAAAACTTTTCCGCTCTAAGTTTGTTAGATAGCTCGTCATTGAGGAGTGGTCTTGGATCTCTTTGACATCTCTCTTCATTTCTTTTGGTGCGGGATTTGACTTCAAATATTGTGGGGCAGTTGTTGTGGCAAGCATTGGCAGATTTCGTCGGCTTGCTTTTCTTTTCCACGTCTTTGTGTTTTCTGGAGGCTCGCATTGCGAAAGTCAGAGGTAGAGGTAGCACATCTACTTCAATTGACCTAACTAGCTTCATGCATTTAGAACCTCACTAGTTGGAAGGATCGGCTCCCTGGTCGACGTGCTGCGGAATAAATTTCACTTCGTCACCTCTATCTAATCACTCCATTATAGTTGCAAGCCTCCACTTAGTCGACAAGTCCTTCCAACGTTCAAACCGCTTAAGCTTAAGTGGCCCTGGAGGAGCTTGGCTGCTGGACACGTTGGAGATGTTTCCTCTGATGATGGTACTCTTCAATTACAGCTTGCATTGAGAGAAATAGTCACGTAAACACCAATCGCATAGCCTGAATCTCCACCTAGATCTTCTAAAGGATTCTCCGTCCTCTATCTAGCTCCTACCAGTTCTCGCACTCGTTTTAATTGTCTTACTAACTAATCTCACAAGCTCTTAGACCTATGATCTAAATGATCTAGTTCAGCATGGAATCGACCACATCATGTTGATAATCTCTGAGTCTGTAGCAACAAGACTAGAATGGAAGGGACTGGAAGTGTGAAATACAATATATTTAAAAAGAACAACGGTCTAATTCTTCTTGTACAGTCACCCTCGTAATTGGGGTAAGGGCAATCCACCTTGCTGGTCATTCAACGTAGTAGTGATCAGCTTGTCTATCAATGCATCGTTTGGAGAATTCACAGTAAGTTCTCCCTTCAACCCTCTGTCCAAGCTTAGCTTCCTGAACGTGATCCAACTTTGTTAGTTGACATGAGTGCAACAGCCAGCCTGCCCACTCGCTCAGCAACCTCTGGATTTTTAATTGACTGGATTCTCCTCACTGTATTGTAACCACTCTGCCTACCTTGAAGATCTGAATCTTATTCACGAAATCATATAGAGTGAAAGCGCGTGGTAAAAGCCTCATGAGCTCAATGGAGGCTCTCGACGACAAGCTGCTGATGGAAACCCTGGATCTGGTCTCGCAATGTGCAAACCAAACGAATCTGCCGCGACAGTTGCTACTCTTCCGAATTCGAAGCTCTACGCAAATCTACCCCAATATGACCAAGGCCCTCGACGTAGCACCGCCACTTCAAACTAGGAACCTATGCCAGGGAATAGAATAAAAAAAACAAAAAGAACCCAAATGGCTTTCCAAATACAACTGTAGATCTAGTGTCGACAATGACGTCGGACCGATTCGCTGCAGCGACGACATCGCTTAATCTGCAGCTCCTCCCTTTGCGTCGCAGGAGAAGTAAAAGATACAACAACCTTAAATTCTACGTAGCACCACCCCTTGAATCTGGAGCTCGGAAGCCAGCAGCGCCACCTTGAACTCTCGCTATACACAGACCGCTCACCGAGTGAGGAAAAAAACTAACTACATGATCATTATGAATATCCAATAATGAGCACACTTCCATTGGTACCACTCAATGGAATGGAGGGGACACCTTAACTACACACACGCGTACACAACACAACCAAAAAAAAACGTAGGGACGGAGTCTGGGGCATTCACCAAAATTCAAAAAACCAAAAAACAAGAGAGGCAGGGATCCGGGCAGCCGGACCCCTATCGACAAAGAGGCTGCCGCCGTTTGTGGACAGCCTCTCGTCCTCCTCACCTTCTCGTTTTCTTTATCTCTCATTATTTTATTTTATTTTATTTTTTCTTTCTTCCTTCTCTTCTTTTCTTTCTTTTCTACTTTCTCATTCTTTTCCTTTTTCTTTTCTAGCTCCTTCTTCTTGCTTTTCTTTCTCTCCCTACTGTCAACCTTTTAATTTTCTATTCTATTGTATTCCTCCCCATCTTATTTGTCTAGAACTACTAAGGTAGGTTCATTTGTTTTTATTTTTATTTTTTTGGATTGTTTTGAATCTAGGATTCCATTTTAGCACCTAGTCTAATTAAAATTTTAATAATAATAAAATTATTACTAAAAATTCCCAAAACTATATTAGGTATATTAAAGAAAATATTTATTTTAAAGTTCTTTTTATAGAAAAATTCTACAAGAAATCTAGTCTTGTATTGGAATTCTATTTTTTTCTATTTATCTCAAAATTCCTATGCTAATTCATTAAACTAGTGACTTTAAGCATCATAAGTTGTGATGGAACATCAACAATTCTTTTTTAGTTCTATTTTCTTTGCACATATATATATATATATATATATATATATTATTACTTTGTAAGGAAGCTTGAGTCAAAAGTATGGTATTTATTTTGTATTGTTTGTTTCTCAAATATGATGTATAATAGTGCTGCTAGATTCTAGTTAAGTACAATTTTGCTACTCCTTAGTGGTAATCCTTATCGTGCAAATGTTGGCTATTGACATGGTATGTGTTGATTCTAATTACCAACTTTTTATGTACTAGTTGGAGTTTGAATTCTTAACATACTGAGGCTAGAATCTTTATTTTTTTTGTTTAGTGTCAATTTATCTTTGGATGTCATCATTTTTATTTTTTTATTTTTTTTTTGTGCTCTCATTTTGATATTGGAGGATTGAATATTATGGTGGTGCCACAATCAACAACAATGTGCATGACTAGTCTTATTTTTTATATATATTTATCATAATTATTATATAAGTAATATGAATATATAAAAATAGATTAATTTCATAATATCTTTTAGAAATACTTTCTAGAAGCTTCATAGATGTTGCTTTGATTTTATATGTATTTATTATTGATTGGTAGATTAGAAACTTAATCAATAAGTTAATCTCATGCCATGCATGATAATAGCTTATAAAATAAGCTAATTATGTAGCGCCCATATAAAAAACTTATTTTATAAGGTACATAATTAAGATACATATCATACAAATTCATCACATTTTAGAGGTCCTATAAAATGTTGCTACATAGCTTCCATGTAAATAGTATATATAAAAAGAAGAGTGATGCCTTCTTCCCACTTATCAATTTCTTTCTTGCTTTTAGTTTAATTTCAAGAAGTTTATAGTTTTATTATCTTTTGGAAATAGCCATTCTAATTTCTTTTTAATGTACATACTTCTATATTTTTATTTTATTATACTTCTTTGAAAAAGTCTCACTTATTTATTTTATGATAATTTTATTATACTTCTTTGAGAAAGTCTCACTTATTTATTTTATGATAATTTTAATCTTTTCTTGAATAATATGATCTAATATTAGATAATTTAAAAGATTTTCTATTAGAATTTTAAATTATAAATAGAAAATATGATATAATTTATATTATAATAAATAAGATTTATATTTTATGATAAAAAATAAATCTATTATATTATATATTTTATAATTTAGATAATTTATAATTAATATTAAATGGAATGATATTGCATTTATTAGCTAATTTTTTTATATATTATAATATGAGTTAAAATAATTAATGCTCAGTTTACATGAACTTTAAACATTGAATTAAGTAATAGATTTTACTATAAAGTATAACAATCAATTTTTTAAATTTTAATTTAATAATTACATGAATAGGCCTTAATATTACTATAATTCAAAGGCAACACCAATGTCTTCTCAATACATACCTTCGGAAGTAGAGGATATGTAAATTAATGCAATACATTTTAAATCTCTTATTGAGTAAGAAAAGACTTATCGTTAAGAAGGATTGTATATATATTATAGAAAACCAAAGCACACTGCTTAATATTATCCAAAAAGAAAACTCAATCATAAAATGAGAAGTATGATTGTTAAAATAGTCAATATATCAAAAAACAAGTTTGTCTAACTACAATAGAAACCATGTAGTTGTAATCTTATATAACATCTAATAAAGGACCTATTTCTTTTTCAGAATTCTCTTCTTGTTTTATAATAGATGTTATTTTAGGATCTAAATATCACAAAGCCTCTATCTTGTTAGGTTCAGGAGCCTCAACTTATTTTTTAGATAAAAAAATTATTTGAAGACATAACATATTTAGAGTAAAAAAAATGAAACCTATTCATATAGAAGTCATAGATGGTTATCTTTTGGAGATATTATTCATAACATATTTCTTTTAAAATTAGTCACTAATAATTATAGTAGCTTTGTGGTATTTAATATTATTAGATCTCCTTTTAATCTAGACATTTTAGTTTTATCATGGTTAAAAAAATATAATCCTTGAATGGATTGAATTTCTTGTAGTCTTGACTTTTTTGAAACTATAACTTAAAGTGTAATTCATCAAGTAGAAAGTCATAAATCTAATGTAACCAAACTTATATTTGTAGATGTAAAAGCTTTTTTGTATGCTATAAAATAAGAATCACCTTGG